GATAAGTCTATCCGTTTATGGGATGTCAAAACAGGATAATAAAAAGCTAAATTGGATGGTCATACTAGCAATGTCTGTTCAGTCTGTTTCTCTACTGATAGAAATACATTTGCATCTGGAAGCGGTGATATGTCTATCCGTCTTTGGGATGTCAAAGCTGGAAAATAAAAAGCCAAATTGGATGGTCATAGCGGCTATGTTATGTCAGTTTGTTTCTCTCCTGATGGAAATACATTAACATCAGGTAGTTAGGATAACATTATCCGTTTATGGGATGTCAAAAACGAATAATAAAAAGTGAAATTAGATGGTCATAGTGGATATGTCTTATCAGTTTGTTTCTCCCCTGATGGTATTACATTAGCATCCGGAAGTGATGATAAGTCTATCCGTCTATGGGATGCCAAAACAGGATAATAAAAAGCTAAATTGGATGGTCATACTAGCACTGTCTGTTCACTCTGTTTCTCCCCTGATGGAAATACATTGGCATCTTGTAGTGGTGATAACTCTATCCGTTTATGGGATGTCAAAAAAGCATAATAAAAAGCCAAATTAAATGGTCACAGGGATTATGTGAGATCAGTCTGTTTCTCTCCTGATGGAAATATACTAGCATCTGGTATTTATGATAACTCTATCCGTTTATGGGAAGTCAAAAAACGATAATAACAAGCCAAATTAGATGGTCATAGTGGTTATGTTATGTCAGTCTGTTTCTCCCCTGATGGAAATACATTAGCATCTGGTAGTGGTGATAAATCTATCCTTCTATGGGATGTCAAAACAGGATAATAAAAAGCCAAATTAGAAGGTCATAATAATATAGTAATGTCAGTCTGTTACTCTCCTGATGGAAATACATTAGCCTCTGGTAGTTAGGATTAGTCAATCTGTCTTTGGGATGTCAATACAGGATAATAAAAAGCCAAAATAGATGGTCATAGTGGTTATGTTATGTCAGTCTGTTTCTCCCCTGATGGAAATACATTAGCATCTGGTAGTGGTGATAATTCTATCCGTCTATGGGATGTCAAAACAGGATAATAAAAAGCTAAATTGGATGGTCATACTAAAGGAATCAACTCAGTATGTTTCTCTCCTGATGGAAATATATTAGCTTCTGGTAGTTATGATAACTCTATCCGTATATGGGATGTCAAAACAGGAAAAGAAATTAAACACTAAAACAACAATACCATAGAAATTCTACAAAAATATACCACTCCGTTATTATAAAATAATCCTTTTACAAATTTTGGTATCATTAATTTGTTATTTTATTTAGTTAATCCAAATATTCCAATTCTTGTTATATCCGAAAATCCATACTTCCTATCAAATGGAGCTTTAATCTTATAAGGAGAATTTTAAACCACTTGGGGAGAAGATTTACGAGCATTTTTTGAATCTAGAGGAGGTTGTATTTTAGAAAACCTCAATTAGAATAAAAAAAAGTGAAAGTATTGATATAAAAACCTGATAAAATAAATTATCTTTAAAGACTAATTAGATTATAAGATATTTGAAACTTATGAATTCTTAGCAGTTAAATTTGCCTTTTTTCCAAAGGTTTTTTCCTTTTTAGTAAAATGTAAATCTGATTTACTTTAATATTATAACAATCTATAGTCAGTCTATTCGATGGAATATTTCTTGAGATGCCATAAAAACTTTTATCAATTAACATTTAATTAAAATTTAAATGATTCTGCATTAAATAAATACTTTACAGACATTTGGAACACTGAGCACAACAATGAGTCAAAAGTAAAGTGTTGAATAATAATTTATAAAAAATTAAAAGTAAATTAGCACAACGCCATTCTTTTTTAATAATTTAGGATATTATGATAGGTTTACTTTATTTATTATTATTTAGAAAAAATATTGATATAAATAGTAAAGATAATAAACAATTACTAATTTTTTTATTTAAAAACAAAGATAATAAAAAAGTTATGTCATAAATTAAGAGAATAAAGTTAATCCTAGACTTAATCTAAACGATAAAAAGAAGAAATTAATTTTAATAATACTTTTTATTATTATTAAATAGATATTTAAAGTATTTCTGAATTTAAAATATTGTGAAGATAAATTAATCACTAGTAAGTATTATATCCCAAAAAGGATTAAGATTTAAGGATATAATTATATCTACCCTAGATTTTAATTAGATGAAATAACAATCTACTTATCTTTATTACTGATGGTTATTGACTTAATGATAATTCCAAAAACTTTCAATAAATTTTTGAATATCTTTAAATATTATACATTTATAAATCACTGAGATTGGTTGGTTTCAAGAAGATTTAAGAAACTAATTAACATCTAAAAAAAAATTATCCACTTCTTAGCTTTGAATAACTGAATTCTTTTGATGAATTGATCAACCAGTTAAATTTTACAATTAAAATTATTCATTAAAAAGTAATTCAAATAAAATGTCAAACAAAGATTAAATTTTACTTTAGGGAATTAGAAAAGATTCCATCAAAAATTCAAGGAATTGCTAAAATTTTCGACGATAATCTCTATGCAACAAAAGGAAAAGAATAATGTAGGGAAATTGTCAAAGGAAACAAAACTTTTTTTATAAAAATTGTAAATATTTTACGAAACCTAAGGGAACATAAATTTAGAAAACTGTTAAACTAATTACAGGTTAGAATTATAGCTATATATTAAAATGAAATTAGCCTTCGAAGGTTGACTTTATCAAATAAACTAATTTCAATAAAATGAAAAAAATGATGAGGTGAATCAAAAACACATCATTTCTCAATAAAGGAGAAACTAACCTTATATATAGATTTATAATGTTCTAAAAAATTATCATCTCACATTAGCAATTTTCTTTTGATTTTAATAATCATTTTAAATCGAAGCCTTTATTATTAATAAACTTTCCTTATGGACAAGAGCTCCTTAAGATAAAGAAATTGCCGTTTGGGATATACAAAGAATGGTTCTGTTAGTGGTAACTAGTCTAAATACCTGTAAAAGGGTAGTTTTATAAAGGAATCAGTTTATGCTAAATTTAATTTATTGGAATATCCAATCAAGCGTAGATCTATCAATTTGATGGCAAAATTATGTAAAAATAAAGTAATTTCTTAGAGAAGGATTATATAACAAAGAAAGATTCAAGAAAGGATTATGGATTAAATGACATGAAAATTATGATAGGTTTTTAATTGTTATTATTCATAAATTGTTAAGTTGTATTTAAAGGATTCTATTAAAATAATCACAAAATTGGGACTAGGATTTATTAATTTTATGAAGGTAATCAAAACAATCCTCTTATTATGAAAAAAAAACAAAATATTTTTAAAGCAATGACAATAAATATATTAGATAATAATATTAAATTATGTTTTAAATATGTTAGAGATTTTGGAGTTTATCATGAAAATGAATTAGAAAATCAATTTTGGGTACAATTAAAAAGAAATGAAAGGAATTAGTGCAATCTTAAAATATAATTTATATAAATTAATTATATACATGTTTCTTCATTTTTCATTTAAGACGATAAATACAAGTTGTGGCGTTGTCATAAACTAAATAGAAATGATAATTTTCTATCTAAATTTAAATATTGTTTATCATCTAATTGAGTCATCAAATTCATCTTCTTACATTAATAGTTTATGAAATAAAATCAAGTCTGAAGATTTAATAAGTACTTCTATCGAACTATACACTAATAGATACTTAAAATTATGCAGAGCAATAGCTATCAATCATAACAAAACTCTGATTATTGCTGCAGCTGAATAAAACATAAAAGTCATCTAGATCATTCTACCACTTCTTTCATAATCAGAAACTTTACAACTACAAGTACAAAAGCATCTTTAGATAAATTGAAATACTTAAAGGTAAACATTAAGATTTTGTATCTTCTTTAATGTTTTTCAAAAAAATCCATAAATGAGAAATTCATTTAACTCGGGTTTAGATGGTAATACGATGATTATTTGGTCGCCTCTTAATTCATTCGAATTTACAATACCAACTAATCAGAAAGACTAATGTATACTAAAAGAACATACAAATTTTATCCTATGTTTACATATACTTACTCCATCAGAGACCTCATTTTTAGTGGATCTTATGATAGGAAGATAAAATTTTGGTCTCTTTCATCAACAAAGCTTTCTTTACCATGGAAATGTTCATAGACTATTGAAGAACAGAGAGTTAAAATTTTTGGATTATCAATTAATCAAGAAGGTAATAGAT